AACCCTGACAAAACAAAAAAAACACCAGTAATGAACAACAAAACTACCAGACATACGGCACCCCACTTCCAACAAAACCAACAATTGCAACATACAACCCTCACACTGCCAGCCGCTCCTCCCACACCCAGCCACATCTTTAGCAACACAGGTAAGCAACCTGAGAAGCACACTTTAAAAAGGATGGGCAGAGCGAGAACGATTTATTAAACAGTACGACAGACAATACATTACCGTCACGGCCCATGCTTCCTCAGTTGTAGCAGTTAGTTTCACTGGCTTTACTGCAATGCACCGCCACGTGGCCAATGTCGCCACACCTGTAACATTTCACCCTACTGCAACGTCTCTGGATGTGACCAAGCCCACCGCAGGAATAGCACTTCCGGTCGTTGGCATGCCCACAGTCACGAGCCATGTGTCCTTGGTCTCCACACCGATAGCAGGACATTTCCTTGCCTCTTCCTCGACCCCTATTGCCGCCGCCACGACCACCATCAACACTGCCGCCACCACGACCACCATCAACGCCACCGCCGCCACGACCACTTTGACTAGTGGGACAATGCTTGGTCTTCTGTTTTCTAAACATGTTTTTGTCAATAGCACGAGTGATCACACCAGAGGGCGTGACGTCTGCCAACACTGTAGAGCTCTCCTCAGACCTTGACTCAATCGGACCGCCAGTCACTAAAAGCACAGGGGGAACATCAGTCCAGACTCTGCTACCTGCCAAACCGTTGCCCAGGATGAACTGTATCCCCTCGATTGGCAAAGCTGGACGTACACCAACAGCCACCTCACCCTTAACAAGACCACAGTCAATATACATCCTATGAACAGGAATAGGAAGAACTTTTAATCCCAGTCCCCAACTCAGAAGGGTGTCACCAGTGTCACTTTCATAAGACAGAGGCAAAACAGAGTCAACAATATAGGAGTCAAAAGCCCCTGTGTCTCGCAAGATTTTGATTGGAACTCTGACATTACTACCTACCAATGACACCAAGCCGTCTCGTATAAATGGAGCATAAGATGCCAAAACCTCAGATCCACCTAAGTGGGATGTAAGCACATCGGCAACACCGCTGCTTTCCACAGGAGCAGCCAACGCAACAGGCCCAACAAAATATCTTCCTCCCTCAGATTTTGCTCTAAGCGCAGGACAGTCTGCCTTCCAATGGCCTTTTTCGCGACAGTAGTGGCAAATATCATTATTATCCCCCCCAGATTTGACCAAACCCAAGTTCCTTGGCTCCATCCCAAATGAACCAACCTTTCTACTTCCCTCCAAAACAGCCAGGGCCCCAGAGCGCCCTCCGAACCTGCTCTTATGAAGCAACACAAACTCATCAGCTGCCACAGCAGCTTCAGCCGCAGAAGTGACCCTGTGTTCTGTTATGTAAGTAGCAATCTTGTCTGGAAGAATATTTTTGAACTGTTCCAAAGTCATGAGCTCACACAAATCGTCAAAAGTAGTGACGTCAAGAGCAGTTAACCAACGCTTAAAATGAACAGACAAATCCCTCGCCATCTCCACATATGTTTGATCTTGTTTTTGCTCAAAGGACCTAAAACGCTGTCGATAGGCCTCTGGCACCAGTTCATATGCTCTAAGCACCGCCGATTTTATTTTACTATAGCTAGAGCTATCCTCAAGACATAAGGAGGAATATGCTGACTGCGCTCTCCCTGTGAGCACACACTGAAGCATCAGAGCGCAGTCCGCATCAGGCCAATCTCTAGCCCTAGCGACACGATCAAAAAGCAAAAAAAAAGTGTCAGGATCACTTTCATTAAATTGCGGTAACAAGCGCAAGTTGTTAGCATCGAACCGATGAGGAGACCTGGGCACCTGTTCACCGTGCCGCTCACCCAACACCGCACCATCTCTGACCATAGAAAGACGTTGTCCTTCCATATCCAGTTTGGCTCTCTCAGTCTCCTGCCGCATCCGCTCCACTGCAATTTCAGTGAGCTAGCCTGAAAAAGAGGTTTTAACAAAACCCCCTCTTCCTTTGCAGCAAACACTCCTGTCTCACTTAATGTCGACACTATAGAGTCTTTTATGTTGTCTTTCACCCTTCCATCACCGACAATAGACACAGAGAAATGCTCAGCAATTAAGAGCAGCTGCTCTCTTGAGAAAGTGGCAAGAGACTCCTGAGACGGAGCTTCAATAAATGCCTCTACGTCAGCCATCTTAATTTACACCGAGCCCTCACCGGAACACAACACCGGACCTTTAAACCGAAAGAAGAGAACAAAAACAAAAACCAACCGGACAGATACCACCACGTTTATTATGCGTCCAAAGTGGAACACTAATTTTTTGATTGGAGTTTCCCCACTAACTCACCATCCCACTGACTAATCTCCTCCCTAGTCTTCATGCAGTTACTTGTGGTGGGTATTTATGCACTGGAGACCGCTAATCCAGCAAAGCGACTAGCAAGCTAGCAACACTACTGAGACCACGGCCATGCTCCCAAGCCAAGGCTTCAACCACTTTCTCCGCAACACTACACACCCCGCTCAACGATCCCAAGGGAACCGCCGCTTAACCTGCCAGGGGAAACTCCGCACCGTTCCGCACTGCTCCACATGCAACGCACCAACCAACCCACACAAAGCTCACCTATCCGTTGCTGTATCACAGATAAAAAGAAGTGGACGAGCCCCCAGCTGTCATGGCTTGGCTCTCAGCCACAACAAACGCGCGACAGAACACGAGGGCGTGAATAGGAAACAAGAGTTTATTCACTGCTGCTGAAGGACACAAACAGGCGAAACAAACGACGAAACAAGAGGTCAGCTGGTCGTGGCTGCTCTTCGCGCTGCGTCCTGCCAGAGAGAGAGCGAGATCCGGCCCGGTCCTTTATCCGGCTAGCTCCAGCCGCCAGGTGTCCTCAATCCCAGCTGATAGACAAAAGGGAAAACCTTAAAGGAACATACACACACCAGAGATAACAAGGCAGGGGTCGTCACAGTGTGTGTGAGTGAGTGTGTGTGTGTGTGAGTGTGTGTGTGTGTGTGAGTGTGAGTGTGTGTGTGAGTGTGAGAGTGTGTGAGTGTGAGAGTGTGTGAGTGTGTGTGTGCTCCTGTGTGTGTGTGTGCTCCTGTGTGTGTGTGAGTGAGTGTGAGTGAGAGTGTGTGTGTGTGTGTGTGAGTGTGTGTGTGTGTGTGAGTGTGTGAGTGTGTGTGTGTGTGTGTGTGTGTGTGTGTGTGTGTGAGTGTGTGTGTGTGTGTGAGTGAGTGTGTGTGAGTGAGTGTGTGTGTGTGTGAGTGTGAGTGAGTGTGAGTGAGTGTGAGTGTGTCAGTGTGAGTGAGTGAGAGTGTGTGTGAGTGAGTGAGTGTGAGTCTCTGTGTGTGTGTGTGTGTGTGTGTGTGAGTGTGTGTGTGTGAGTGTGTGAGTGGATGTAGAGATGAAGCTCTGATCCCAGAGGCCGAGGAGGAATCAGAACGAGTCACTAAAGAACAACAGATCGGACACAGCGGGTGAAAAAAGAGAAAATAAAGTTTATTGAGACTCCTGTGTGATGTCATCAGATCACATGACACGGACCGACCACTCCCGTCGTCCTGGGCTACAACAACAACAACAATAATAAAAAGGCGGGGCTTGTTGGGGTTGTTGGGTCAGTACTGGAAGCTCCTCTTGGTCTGAATGTCGTCCAGAATCTGCTGCAGCTCCTCGTCCTCAAACCGGCCCTCCAGACTGGAGACACAGGAGAGGGTCAGAGTGTGTGAGTGTGTGTGTCTGTGTGAGTGAGAGTGTGTGTGTGTCTGTGTGAGTGAGAGTGTGTGTGTGTGTGTCTCTCTGTGTGTGTGTGTCTCTGTGTGTCTCTGTATGTGTGTGTCTGTGTTGTGTCTCTGTGTGTGTGTGTCTCTCTGTGTGTGTGTGTCTCTGTGTGTGTGTGTCTCTCTGTGTGTGTGTCTCTCTGTGTGTGTGTGTGTGTGTGTGTCTCACCTGGGGATCAGGGCCTTCCCCTCCTCTGCAGCTTCAGGGCAGAGATTAGCTAAACTGGCCAACTCGAACTTGTGCAGCTTCTTCTGCAGCAGGAGGCTGGAACAGAGACGCATGACATCATTACATATAATACAACTTCCACACACAACGCTCTGCCGACCCGCACCTCAGCAGCCCCTCAGCAGCCGCCCCGCCCCTCAGCAGCCGCCCTGCCCCTCAGCAGCCGCCCCGCCCCCTCAGCAGCCGACCCGCCCCTCAGCAGCCCCTCAGCAGCCGACCCGCCCCCTCAGCAGCCCCTCAGCAGCCGCCCCGCCCCTCAGCAGCCCCTCAGCAGCCGCCCCGCCCCTCAGCAGCCGCCCCGCCCCTCAGCAGCCGCCCCGCCCCTCAGCAGCCCCTCAGCAGCCGACCCGCCCCCTCAGCAGCCCCTCAGCAGCCGCCCCGCCACTCAGCAGCCGCCCTGCCCCTCAGCAGCCGCCCCCGCCCCTCAGCAGCCGACCCGCCCCTCAGCAGCCGACCCGCCCCTCAGCAGCCCCTCAGCAGCCGACCCGCCCCTCAGCAGCCCCTCAGCAGCCGACCCGCCCCTCGGCAGCCGCCCCGCCCCTCGGCAGCCGCCCCGCCCCTCAGCAGCCGCCCCGCCCCTCAGCAACCCCTCAGCAGCCGACCCGCTCCTCAGCAGCCCCTCAGCAGCCGACCAGCCCCTCAGCAGCCGACCCCCCCCCTCAGCAGCCGCCCCGCCCCTCAGCAGCCCCTCAGCAGCCGACCCGCCCCCTCAGCAGCCCCTCAGCAGCCGCCCCGCCCCTCGGCAGCCGCCCCGCCCCTCGGCAGCCGCCCCGCCCCTCGGCAGCCGCCCCGCCCCTCAGCAGCCCCTCAGCAGCCGCCCCGCCCCTCGGCAGCCGACCCGCCCCTCAGCAGCCCCTCAGCAGCCGACCAGCCCCTCAGCAGCCGACCCCCCACTCAGCAGCCGCCCTCGCCCCTCAGCAGCACCCTCAGCAGCCGCCCCGCACATCAGCAGCCCCTCAGCAGCCGACCCGCCCCTCAGCAGCCCCTCAGCAGCCGACCCGCCCCTCAGCAGGCCCCTCAGCAGCCGACCCGCCCCCTCAGCAGCCCCTCAGCAGCCGCCCCGCCACTCAGCAGCCGCCCTGCCCCTCAGCAGCCGCCCCGCCCCTCAGCAGCCGACCCGCCCTCAGCAGCCGCCCCGCCCCTCAGCAGCCCCTCAGCAGCCGCCCCGCCCCTCGGCAGCCGACCCGCCCCTCAGCAGCCGCCCCTCGGCAGCCGACCCGCCCCTCAGCAGCCCCTCAGCAGCCGACCAGCCCCCTCAGCAGCCGACCCCCCCCCTCAGCAGCCGCCCCGCCCCTCAGCAGCCCCTCAGCAGCCGCCCCCGCCACTCAGCAGCCGCCCCCCCCCTCAGCAGCCGCCCCGCCCCTCAGCAGCCCCTCAGCAGCCGCCCGCCCCTCAGCAGCCCCTCAGCAGCCGACCCCTCAGCAGCCGCCTCCCGCCCCCTCAGCAGGCCCCCTCAGCAGCCGACCCGCCCCTCAGCAGCCCCTCAGCAGCCGACCCCGCCCCTCAGCAGCCTGCCCCGCCCCTCCAGCAGCACCCTCAGCAGCTGCCCCTCAGCAGCCGCCCCCGCCCCTCGGCAGCCGACCCGCCCCTCGCAGCCGACCCGCCCCTCGGCAGGCCGCCCCGCCACTCAGCAAGCCGCCCTGCCCCTCAGCAGCCGCCCCGCCCCTCAGCAGCCGCCCAGCAGCGCCCCGCCCTCAGCAGCCCCTCAGCAGCCGCCCCGCCCCCCTCAGCAGCCCCTCAGCAGCCGCCCCGCCCCTCAGCAGCCCCTCAGCAGCCGCCCCCCCGCCCCTCGGCAGCCGCCCCGCCCCTCAGCAGCCCCTCAGCAGCCGCCCCGCCCTCGGCAGCCGACCCGCCCCTCAGCAGCCCCTCAGCAGCCGACCAGCCCCTCAGCAGCCGACCCCCCCCCCTCAGCAGCCGCCCCTCAGCAGCCCCTCAGCAGCCGCCCCGCCCCTCAGCAGCCCCTCAGCAGCCGCCCCTCAGCAGCCGCCCCGCCACTCAGCAGCCGCCCTGCCCCTCAGCAGCCGCCCCGCCCCTCAGCAGCCGACCCGCCCCTCAGCAGCCCCTCAGCAGCCGACCCGCCCCCTCAGCAGCCCCTCAGCAGCCGCCCCGCCCCTCGGCAGCCGCCCCGCCCCTCGGCAGCCGACCCGCCCCTCGGCAGCCGCCCCGCCCCTCGGCAGCCGCCCCGCCCCTCAGCAACCCCTCAGCAGCCGACCAGCCCCTCAGCAGCCGCCCCGCCCCTCAGCAGCCCCTCAGCAGCCGCCCCGCCCCTCAGCAGCCGACCCGCCCCTCAGCAGCCCCTCAGCAGCCGCCCCGCCCCTCGGCAGCCGCCCCGCCCCTCGGCAGCCGCCCCGCCCCTCAGCAGCCGCCCCGCCCCTCGGCAGCCGACCCGCCCCTCAGCAGCCCCTCAGCAGCCGACCAGCCCCTCAGCAGCCGACCCCCCACTCAGCAGCCGCCCCGCCCCTCAGCAGCCCCTCAGCAGCCGCCCCGCCCCTCAGCAGCCGACCCGCCCCTCAGCAGCCCCTCAGCAGCCGACCCGCCCCTCAGCAGCCCCTCAGCAGCCGACCCGCCCCCCTCAGCAGCCCCTCAGCAGCCGACCCGCCCCTCAGCAGCCGCCCTGCCCCTCAGCAGCCGCCCCGCCCCTCAGCAGCCGCCCCGCCCCTCAGCAGCCTCTGTGTCTGTGTGTCTCTGTGTGTGTGTGCGTGTGTGTGTGTGTGTGTGTGTGTGTGTTACCTGCGCACAGCAGTGATGGTCTCTCTGTTCTTGAACCGGCTGAATCTAGCCGTGTAGTTCAGAGTCTTCATGAACACTTCAGAGAGCTCCTGCTCGTCCTCCGCGCTCTCGTTCTGCTGCTTCCTGTGTTCCAGCAGCATGTGCACCTCCGAGTTCAGGAGCGTCTCCGAGCTCTCAAACTCTGAGGACACATCACCATCATCATCATCACCACCACCATCATCATCATCATCATCATCATCATCAAACACACACTGATAGCTCCGAGTTCAGGAGCGTCTCCGAGCTCCGATGGCCCGGGGCCATCTAGTATTTAGCTCGGGCAATGAAGCCTCACCTGCTGGTTGCCCGACCGGGCAATCTATTATGCCAGTATCATGCAGCTCTCGGATCAGTAATGAGTGAGCCGACAGTAAAACTAAACATATCTATAACTAGTTACGGTAGTTTGAGAGGTCATTAAAATAGCTACGTGTGATATTCTAACCTGAAGTGTGTTTTGTCCGCTCACCACTGCATGTGATCATGCAGAGCTGCGTGTCGACTCGTCAGCTGATCTCTCTCTCCCGTCAGATTAGACTCGCGTTTATGTCCATATCGATCAGATCCAGCTAGTTCTAGCTAATGATATGACTACCTGCTTATTAAAAGACACCTAAACAATAAGCGTTGATATGCAACTGGGTGAGGCCACAAAGTATAGCGCAGCATTATGCATTTGTTTACATGCCCACCGGAACCCTGAGGCATTACCAACAGATCAACGCACAATCAACCCATCCAGGACATCTCTTTCTCCACATTAAGTGTTAGACATTATAATTGACTCTTCTTGTCTGTCACATACTCTTCTTGTCTGTCACATAAGTGGCGCAACTGAAGCGGTATTGCGCTAAAGGGAAATTATTTTGACCGAAGAGATTTAGATTTGCCGGCTAACGGAACTCTGACGTCGCCATTTTGTGTGGTTCGCGGATGCGCTCGGCTCCTCTCGACTGCTGCTCGGGTCTGCTCGGTCAGCTTCCGGATGAGGAGGCATTCGTTCGACCAACTCACAGTAGATAACATTACGAACATTTTTAACAGGGGGCATAATAGTGTAAATAATGTTTGTTTTGGCAGTTATAACTGAATGTAATGTTTTCTACTTGTTTCCATCTGGAAGGCATTTGCCTTCCAGATGGAAAGTGTCTTGACCAACAACTTAAGTGTTTCTTAAAGCTATGCAGGGCATGCAAGCGAGCAAACACAAACAAGAACAAACAAACAAGTGAAATTAAAAATAAAATTGAAATTGTACAATATAATATTGTTCATCTTATAATTCAGTCTAGAGAATGCACCAGACAGCATCTAAGACCTGCACAAATCTAAATGTTCTAGGGGGACGGAGGCCCCCCAAACCATTCGTGCGTCATTTTGTCCACGCGCATTTTTCAGGGCAATCTCTATTGGGCTCAGGGCCATCTGTAAATTAGCTTAGATGGCCCTGTTAGCTTAGATGGGCCACAGGCCCATCTAAGCTAACAGGGCCATCTAAGCTAATTTACAGATGGCCCTGTTAGCTTAGATGGCCCTGTTAGCTTAGATGGCCCACAGGCCCATCTAAGCTAACAGGGCCATCTAAGCTAACAGGGCCATCTAAGCTATCAGGGCCATCTAAGCTAACAGGGCCATCTAAGCTAACAGGGCCATCTAGCTACAGGCATCTAAGCTAACAGGGCCATCTAAGCTAACAGGGTTCTCAAGGCTCTCAAACTCTGAGGACACATCATCATCATCATCACCATCATCATCACCATCACCATCATATACTCATTTAAAACATATAGTCTTATACTCAGTTCAATTGCATTGTTAGTCCTGAATGTGTTCAGAGACATGTGTACTAATACTACACTGTACTAATACTACACTGTACTAATACTACACTGTAGGAATACTACACTGTAGGAATACTACACAGTACTAATACTACACTGTAGGAATACTACACAGTACTAATACTGCACAGTAGGAATACTACACAGTACTAATGTGACTAACATCTCAGGAAAGGTGCTCCGACAGTGCAGTACAAGTACTAATACTGCACTGTAGGAATACTGCACTGTAGGAATACTACACAGTAGGAATACTACACAGTAGGAATACTGCACTGTAGGAATACTGCACTGTAGGAATACTACACAGTAGGAATACTACACAGTAGGAATACTACACAGTAGGAATACTGCACTATAGGAATACTACACTGTAGGAATACTACACTGTAGGAATACTACACTGTAGGAATACTGCACTGTAGGAATACTACACTGTAGGAATACTACACAGTAGGAATACTGCACTGTAGGAATACTACACTGTAGGAATACTACACTGTAGGAATACTGCACTGTAGGAATACTACACGGTAGGAATACTACACGGTAGGAATACTGCACGGTAGGAATACTGCACGGTAGGAATACTACACGGTAGGAATACTGCACGGTAGGAATACTGCACGGTAGGAATACTGCACGGTAGGAATACTGCACGGTAGGAATACTACACGGTAGGAATACTACACGGTAGGAGTACTACACGGTAGGAGTACTACACGGTAGGAATACTACACTGTAGGAATACTACACTGTAGGAATACTACACGGTAGGAATACTACACAGTAGGAATACTGCACAGTAGGAATACTACACAGTAGGAATACTACACAGTAGGAATACTGCACTGTAGGAATACTACACTGTAGGAATACTGCACTGTAGGAATACTACACTGTAGGAATACTACACAGTAGGAATACTACACAGTAGGAATACTGCACTGTAGGAATACTGCACTGTAGGAATACTGCACTGTAGGAATACTACACAGTAGGAATACTGCACTGTAGGAATATTACACAGTAGGAATACTACACAGTAGGAATACTGCACTGTAGGAATACTACACTGTAGGAATACTGCACTGTAGGAATACTACACTGTAGGAATACTACACAGTAGGAATACTGCACTGTAGGAATACTACACTGTAGGAATACTACACTGTAGGAATACTGCACTGTAGGAATACTACACGGTAGGAATACTACACGGTAGGAATACTGCACGGTAGGAATACTGCACGGTAGGAATACTGCACGGTAGGAATACTGCACGGTAGGAATACTGCACGGTAGGAATACTGCACGGTAGGAATACTACACGGTAGGAATACTACACGGTAGGAGTACTACACAGTAGGAGTACTACACAGTAGGAATACTACACAGTAGGAATACTGCACAGTAGGAATACTACACAGTAGGAATACTACACAGTAGGAATACTGCACAGTAGGAATACTACACAGTAGGAATACTACACGGTAGGAATACTACACAGTAGGAGTACTACACGGTAGGAATACTACACGGTAGGAATATTACACTGTAGGAATACTACACGGTAGGAATACTGCACGACAGTAGGAATACTACACTGTAGGAATACTACACAGTAGGAATACTACACGGTAGGAATACTACACGACAGTAGGAATACTACACAGTAGGAATACTACACAGTAGGAATACTACACGGTAGGAATACTACACAGTAGGAGTACTACACAGTAGGAATACTACACAGTAGGAATACTACACGGTAGGAATACTACACAGTAGGAGTACTGCACAGTAGGAATACTACACGGTAGGAATACTACACAGTAGGAGTACTGCACAGTAGGAGTACTACACAGTAGGAGTACTACACAGTAGGAATACTACACGGTAGGAATACTACACAGTAGGAATACTACACAGTAGGAATACTACACAGTAGGAGTACTGCACGGTAGGAGTACTACACGGTAGGAATACTACACAGTAGGAGTACTACACAGTAGGAATACTACACAGTAGGAATACTGCACAGTAGGAATACTACACGGTAGGAATACTGCACGGTAGGAGTACTACACGGTAGGAGTACTACACAGTAGGAGTACTACACAGTAGGAATACTACACAGTAGGAATACTGCACAGTAGGAATACTACACAGTAGGAATACTACACAGTAGGAATACTGCACAGTAGGAATACTACACGGTAGGAATACTACACAGTAGGAGTACTACACGGTAGGAATACTACACGGTAGGAATATTACACTGTAGGAATACTACACGGTAGGAATACTACACGGTAGGAATACTACACGACAGTAGGAATACTACACAGTAGGAATACTGCACAGTAGGAGTACTACACAGTAGGAATACTACACGGTAGGAATACTACACAGTAGGAGTACTACACGGTAGGAATACTACACGGTAGGAATACTACACAGTAGGAATACTACACAGTAGGAATACTACACAGTAGGAGTACTACACGGTAGGAATACTACACGGTAGGAATACTGCACGGTAGGAGTACTACACGGTAGGAATACTACACGGTAGGAATACTACACAGTAGGAGTACTACACGGTAGGAATACTACACGGTAGGAATACTGCACGGTAGGAGTACTACACGGTAGGAATACTACACGGTAGGAATACTGCACGGTAGGAGTACTACACGGTAGGAATACTACACGGTAGGAATACTACACGGTAGGAATACTACACAGTAGGAGTACTACACAGTAGGAATACTACACGGTAGGAATACTACACTGTAGGAATACTACACAGTAGGAGTACTACACAGTAGGAATACTACACAGTAGGAGTACTACACGGTAGGAATACTACACGGTAGGAATACTACACGGTAGGAATACTGCACGGTAGGAGTACTACACGGTAGGAATACTACACGGTAGGAATACTGCACAGTAGGAATACTACACTGTAGGAATACTACACAGTAGGAGTACTACACAGTAGGAATACTACACAGTAGGAGTACTACACAGTAGGAATACTACACGGTAGGAATACTACACGGTAGGAATACTGCACGGTAGGAGTACTACACGGTAGGAATACTACACGGTAGGAATACTACACGGTAGGAGTACTACACGGTAGGAATACTACACGGTAGGAATACTACACGGTAGGAATACTACACAGTAGGAATACTACACAGTAGGAATACTACACAGTAGGAGTACTACACAGTAGGAATACTACACTGTAGGAATACTACACAGTAGGAATACTACACAGTAGGAGTACTACACAGTAGGAATACTACACAGTAGGAATACTACACAGTAGGAGTACTACACAGTAGGAATACTACACAGTAGGAGTACTACACAGTAGGAATACTACACGGTAGGAATATCCCGAATGGAACACAGAACGCTTCGAACCCGGGCTCACATATGAAGATGTTGGCTTTAGTGAACACACCTTTAGCTGGTATTAATATATACATTAATATGATTATAAAGATGAACAAACCTTTGGGAAACAGCAGCTGTGACGCGTCTTCTTCAACATCTCCAACACTAGTGTTAGTGGAGCAGGCTCCAGCCGCCATCACAACAACAAACAAACAACAAATAAACAACAACAACACGTGCTAACGGCTAGCGCTGCTCCCGCATCAGAGCTTCACAGAGTTAGATAAGAGCTAAGCTAACAGCTAACAGCTGACTGAGGTCGTTGGGGTCTTTGGATCTATATTCAGGTAAATATGAGGTACAGACAAATCTGATCTGATTCTCGGCGCGTTTTAGCCTCACAAACACAACACGATCACTTCCGCTGGTGACACAAATCACTTCCGGTCCGTAGTTTCCTTTTCCTTCAAAATAAGAGCTCGGTGCTGATATAATATTTGCATCGCTATTGTGAGCATTGGGGTGAGAGTTCATGTGTTGTGAGCATGCGCAGTCTGTCCTGAAGTTGTGAAAAGAGTGTGGTTGCCAGTAGAGGTTTCTCAATACTCAAATTTCCCCTCCTCGACTCCCCTCCTCGAGACTTGGGCCCTTTCTCATTTCATCAAATCCCCCTCCTCGACTCCTCGACTCCTCGGTCCTCCGGTAGTGACCCGGAAATGAATTTCAGCGCGCCATGTTGAAGGACATCTCATTTCTCTAAATCTCTGGAGGAGCTATTGATTGATTGATTGAAAAGTGTATTAACAGCTTGTATATTGGGTACAGTACAGTACAGCTCAAAACATACAATTGTTAAGGGGATGCAGACCAGAGAAAGACTTTCGTCTTGTTTACATCAGGGTCCCCCATTTCCAATTCATCATGTCATTTAAGACATATAAGACATATTTGACATACAGATGGCTTATTTACAATTTACATTTTAGATTTGGTTCTAATACATCCTAACCGGACATTTAAGACATACCAAGTCTACAGATATACAGTTAGTAATAGAGTCTAAAATGCGAGTATATACATAGATGGGGGGGGGGGGGGGGGAAGCTGTTCATTGAACGACAGGTTGAGCTCTAACCGAGGATACACTGATGGGTCCTCCACGGTCCTCCACGGCTCCTTCGCGGATGCATTTCCGGGAACAGAGATGTTTCAAAGAGTATCTCAGCCAATGACAGCTCTGCATGCATCCCCTGGATATTATTTTAGTAACTGCTCTCATGGTGACGCGATGTTTCCAGAGAGAACAGCTGAGAGGTCCGTGCAGAAAGCAGAGCAGTGTGTATCATAGATATCACTCAGTAGAACAGGCCGACTCTCTTTGCTTTAGTTTAGTAGATATCTACAAACAAAGAGTCCAGATGTTTCTAAGAGCATTTAGTGCTTCACAAAATAAAATACACAACGGCTGCAGCCTGAGGATGCTTTAGGAGCTGCAGGTGTGTGTGTGTGTGTGTGTGTGTGTGGTACAGTGTGTGTGTGTGTGTGTGGTACAGTGTGTAGGTGTCTGTGTGATACAGTGTGTTGGTGTGTGTGTGGTACAGTGTGTGTGTGTGGTACAGTGTGTAGGTGTGAATGGTGGAGGCGTGACGCACGGCCGGACTGATCTCAGCCAATCACAGCTCTGCATGCATCCCCTGGATATTATTGTAGTAACTGCTCTCATGGTGACGGATGTTTCCAGAGAGAACAGCTGAGAGGTCCGTGCAGAAAGCAGAGCAGTATGTATCATAGATATCACTCAGTAGAACAGCTGAGAGGTCCGTGCAGAAAGCAGAGCAGTGTGTATCATAGATATCACTCAGTAGAACAGCTGAGAGGTCCGTGCAGAAAGCAGAGCAGTGTGTATCATAGATATCACTCAGTAGAACAGGCCGACTCTCTTTGCTTTAGTTTAGTAGATATCTACAAACAAAGAGTCCAGATGTTTCTAAGAGCATTTAGTGCTTCACAATAAAATACACAACGGCTGCAGCCTGATGATATGCTTTAGGAACTGTATGTGCGTGTGTGTGATACAGTGTGTAGGTGTGTTTGTGGTCAACCCAGTCTCACGGCATTTAGTGTTCACCAACACGATTTTTAATCTATTGATTCGTGTTGCACAGCACAATTTTAAAAGCAATGTATTTCTACTGCCTGCAGCACGTCTTTTTCTCCGGTCGGGTCGAGGGAGACCGGAAGCTGTGTGGTTCATAAAAACATGTTCTTACTCAATATCAAGCCAGAGTTATTGCTTTTATTTTAAATCGTATAATGTCGGGCTTGTTTTGCCGTCTGTGAGGAAAATAAATGGCTCAGAGCCTCAGGATACTGAAATCTGTATTTTAAAAATATTTTTTTCCTTCTAATTTGTTATTCTTTTCTAAATAACACACCGTTATTTACTCACCAATAACACACAACTATCCTTGCTTTTATTTATTGGTTTAATTCCATAATCTCGGGCTTTTTTGGCGTCCGTCAGGAACTGAATTTCAAAATAAAAATAACCGGAAACAGACGTAGGCCTATAAGGGACATTTCGAGCATCATTGCGATTGTCAACATTTCTGAGTTTAGGATGGCCGAAGACACTACACTACCCATAATCCCCAGCTATCGTTTAGGACTACAGTCCCCGTAAGGTTACGCAGAGCGTCAAACAGCTGTGTGAAATGGAACGAAACCACGCCAGACTATCCAAAACTGAAATCGAACGCCCCCCCAGAACTACACATGCTGGCTATTGTGTTTCGCAAAATGTTCTATGGGACGTCTCTACTGAACGTTTTTCCCACAATAAGAAGTTGCCAGTATTAAACACATTGGTGTTATCAAATGTAAAACATGTAATTAATAAATGGGTGAAAATCGCTTGTGTCCATAATGCGCAGCATTAATACCCACATGACAGCTCATTGTTAGTTTGTAATTCTACTCCACTACAATTCAGAGGTTAACCCGGTATTTTTACTTATGTGAAAATATAAACAACCCTTAAATCAGACTTTAGTTACACCTGAGTAAAATTCAGGTAAGGTGATTGTCAAGTGCCAACAATCAGGAGAGATATTTGATAGTTGGTGCTTGAGAAGACTAAACATGTATCTGCAATTGACATGAATGGAAACGAGTAATAAAGTATATTCATTACTCGTTATTCTCTACTAATAGTTCATTAAAGACTGTATATTATGGCTATTTTGCACATCCCTTTCAAGATTTTCAAAGGTTTATTGACATATCATATACACAACTACGGTGTAGTTATGCAATGAATGAAACACTTGGGTCACAGGTTCCTCAACAGTGCATTACAAGACATCTATCAATATGTGTGTACCTCCACCATTAAACTGTCATATTCTGCACATTTCTTATTCTATCTACATAAGAGTATAATTCATATGTATAATATCAGTTAAAATAAGTGCTTCAACATAGTTAACATTGCAGGAAAGCAATATATTAGACGTTAAGTACTTTGTCAGGCTTAATATTTATCTGTAGATAGATACCCCCAAAGCTTTTTTCTTATTTAAAAGAAGACCTTAATCTGTTATTTAATGTTTAAATAAAGGTTAATTCGTTTTTCTGTTTTGCACCTCCTCCTATTAATATCTTTGTACATTCTGCACTAAACTGTTTTATTGTAGAGATAACTTATAGTAGCTTCTTGATTTTTTATATTCTATATTTATACTTTCCCCCTATGAAAGTATGTACTCTTAATATTTTTTTAATCAAATAAAACACAATAATTCAATAACGTGCTTTAACCACTAGGAGGTGCACACAAGGTACACACAGCCATAATGACTTTGTATTATTAATGTAGGACACTTGTGTTTTCGTACAACATCTGAAGATGTGTAGTTTTATTCATGCTTTCACATAATTTTACAGCATATTGCTATACTATTTCAGACTCAGTATTTACATTCTTACATTCAAAGAAAATCAGTAATATCTTTAAAAACTACAGTCCTTTTATATCAGCTGTGCACCGTTATGGTGTAAATATAACCTATCTGTGAATTAGATCAAATGTAAAAGTCAGCTGAATTAGTGTTGATACTGCAAGGAGACATATTGTGTGAAGAGAAATTGAAGATGTTGTTTAATTGTTGAATATATTTATGATCCACGTCAAGTATTCAGTTTCGGCGGCATTTTCTCAGTTTTTCCAAAGGTCTTCTCATCAGGGCTCTATAAATAAAGAACTACGGCAGATCTGTAATATGTAATGCAGCCGAACCGTGTATTACAATGCCGTTATGTGATGACTTTCAAAGAGAAAAGCAAGAGCGCTCGGAATTAAGTATTATTTTATTCTTTTAAAATGTTTTCCGGATTTCATATCATATAAACATCAAATCCCAGCATGCATTGCGGCTAAAACATCCAATAAACGAGCTTAAAACCATAGCTGAGGATCTTGGGTAATCGCTCGAAATGCCTACGTCTGTTTCCGGTTATTTTTATTTTGAAATTCAGTTCCTGACGGACGCCAAAAAAGCCTGAGATTATGGAATTAAACCAATAAATAAAAGCAAGGATAATTGTGTGTTATTGGTGAGTAAATAACAGTGTGTTATTTTGAAAAGAATAACAAATTAGAAGGAAAAAAAGATTTTAAAAATACAGATTTCAGTATCCTGAGGCTCTGAGCCATTTATTTTCCTCACAGCAACAAAAGTCCGAAATTATACGATTTAAAATAAAAGCAATAACTGTGGCTTGATATTGAGTAAGAACATGTTTTTATGAACCACACAGCTTCCGGTCTCCCTCGATCCGACCGGAGAAAAAGACGTGCTGCAGGCAGTAGAAATACATTGCTTTTAAAATCGTGCTGTGCAACACGAAATGCCGTGAGACTGGGTTGGTGTGGTACAGTGCGTAGATGCAGCGGACAGACAGGTCTCAGTTGGTTTGGTGTCCTCTGCTTACTTTCAATACTTGTAAATAAAACTTTTGGCCCGTAATTTATTTCCCTCATTGTAGCGACCAGAGAGGGGGGGGGGGGGGGGGGGGGGGGGTATCCAGTCTCTGATAGTGCTATGTTACTATGAGAGCGCTCTGTTTGATTCTGAAATTGTATATATTTATATAAATATATACATATATGTGTGTGTGTGTGTGTGTGTCCTCATCTGTAGCCTGTTATTGTCTCATTACACCGCACTGTGAATGAATCAAAGTAAATATAGAAGTGGTCATGAACACATCTGACATCAGACAGAGGGCTGCTGCCTCCTGTCATCATTAATGGACGTCTCTTTAAAATGACCGCTCAGAGGAGAGGAGTTCTCCTTTCTCTAACCGCCTGCTGCTTCCCCTCCTCTCTCCTCGGCTCCCCTCCTCTCTCCTCGATTATAGCTCCTCCAGAGAGCCTCCT